GGAGAGGGAGAAGGATGGATAGACAGTGGTAGATAGATATAGATAGTGGACAGGTAGGTAGATAGAGAGATAGATAGATACATAGATAAATAGATAGATGGATAGATAGATAGATAAATAGATAGATGGATAGATAGATAGGTAGATAGATAGATAGATAGATGAATAAATAGATACATAAATAGATAAATAGATAGATAGAGAGGTAAATAGATAAATAGATAATAAGATAGATAAATAGATAGATAGATAAATAAATAGATACTAGATACATAGATAGATAGATGAATAGATAGATAAATAGATAGATACATAGATAGATAGGTAGGTATGAGGTAGTTAGATAAAGGAAAGTGAGAAAGGAAGGGAGAATAGAGGAGTAAGAGAAGGTCGATGAAACTGAAAAGAAATACATGAAATTCTGTAGCATCTAAAATCCCCTAAAGTTACTTAGGAAAACGGAGGTAGAACATAAAGATCCATATATATAGTTAGTGTAATCATAGACAGAGAGAGAGACAGATAGATGAAGGCTTAGATATAGATAACAAAATAGATAAGTAGAGATAAATCGAGCTAGATGGAAAGAAAGATATACAAATACTCAAAGACAGACAGAAAAAATCCATGTACCAGATTGATAATAATAAGACAGATATGAAAAAACAGAGATCCATATACCAATAAAACCAATTAAAACAGCAACTTTAAACCTGCCCCCTTCCCCCACCCCCACCCCCTACCCAACAGAGACGCGCGTGGTAAGACAACCACCCTGGTACTACGGGCAAGAACAAAGGACCTTCACCCACCCTCTATATAACGACACCTGGATTCGCCTCCCGAAGAGCTTCCACGAGGACCACCTGGACGCGAGGAATCAGGTGAAGGTGGTCTTCGTCGCCTACAATGAGCTGCATTGTACCATCAACAGCGTGCCGTGGTAGGTTTTGTGTGTGTACGTGTGGGGAGGGGGGGGGCAGTGAGTGTTTGTGTGTTTTGTGTGTGTGTGTTTGTTTGTTTGTTGTTTGTTTGTGTGTGTGTGAGGCAGTGAATGTTGTTTGTATGTATAAGGTAGTGAGTGTTTTGTGTGTGTTTTTGTTTTTGTGCAGTGAGTGTTTGTGTGTGTGTGTGTGTGTGTGTGTGAGGCAGTGAGTGTTTGTATGTGTGTTTGTGGCGGTGTGTGTGTGTGTGTGAGGCAGTGAGTGTTTGTATGTTGTTTGTGGCGTGTGTGTGTGTGTGTGTGGAGGCAGTGAGTGTTTGTATGTGTGTTTGTGGCGGTGTGTGTGTGTGTTTGTGAGGCAGTGAGTGTTTGTATGTGTGTGTGTGGTGTGTGTGTGTGTGTTTTATATGTTTGTATTTTGTGAGTATTTGTGTGCATAGGGGGAAATGTAAAGAAGGAGAGAGGGAGGAAGGAAGGGTTAGAGGGAGGGAGGGAAGGGGAGAGGAAAATAGAGGTGGGAGTGAGGGAGTATAGGAAGGAGAAAGGGGGAGAGCGAGAGAAGAAGAAGAAGAGAGAGAGAGAGAGAGAGAGAGAGAGAGAGAGAAACTCAGATAAAAGAGATCGGGAATGGAAGGGGGAGAAAAGGACAGAGATCGAAAGAGTGATAGAGCGAGTTCCAGAAAGAAAGATAGGAAATTGTGTTTGTATCTTATATGATTTTGTTCACATATTTTTGCCTTTCTAAATGCTATTTTTAAACATAATTTTGAACATGAAGTATAATATTTCTTAACATATTTTTGAACCTAAATTATATATTTCTTAACATGTTTTTGAACATGAAGTATATATTTCTTAACATATTTTGAACATAAATTATATATTTCTTAACATATTTGAACATAAATTATATATTTCTTAACATATTTCTGAACATGAAGTATATATTTTTAACATTTTTTTGAACATAAATTATATATTTTAACATATTTCTGAACATGAAGTATATATTTCTTAACATTTTTATTATTTTTCCAGTGACCCGCGCACTGCAAAACACAAGCGTGACCTTCCAGCTCGAGATCAGGTCAACAGTGCCGTCATTGGTGCCAAAGTGGGCGGGGTTTCGACCTGGCATGCCGGTGAGTTACAGACATTGAGATAGAGAGATCGATCGATAGAGAGAGATAAAGACATATATGTATAAATAGATAGAGACATATGTGTATATATATAGATAGAGACAGATATATAGAAGATAAGAGAGAGAGAAGAGAGAGAACAAACAAAGAGAGATAAGCAAGATACATAATAGAAGAGATTAAAACTTACCAATCACACCAATCCATCTCCCCTCCCCTCCCCTTCCACCTCAACAACACCCGTCCCTCCCCCCTCCTCCTCCCCACCTCATCAACACCACCCACCCTCCCCAAACATACCCTCCCCTCCCCTCCCCACCTCAACACATCCCAATCCTTCCTCCCTCCCCCACTCCCCAACCATACCCCATTATCAACCCCCCCCCCCCCCGCTTCCTTAACCCCCATCTCACCCTCTCTTCCTTCCCCCCCCCCCTCACCCTCCAGCATTCGACGAATACGTTGAAGTCCGCCTCCAACACATCTACACCGGGGACATCTTCCTCCTGGGACCTCCTACCTGCGTGTGGTGGGACATCCGGTCACACAGGTGGGCGAAGGACGGCTGCCGGCTGGTGGAGACTAACGAATTCGTGTCTGTCTGTCGCTGCGATCACCTGACCAACCTCGCTGTGGTTGTGGACATCACGGGCTCGTGGATGATACTGATGTTGAGGGGCTTGGATGTTGGTTTGTGGTTGTTTGTTATTGATGTTTTCAGTATATTGTTCGTCGTTATTATGTTATTTGGCATGTTAGTGTTACAATAGTAATATCATCATTATTACGCTACTAATGTGATTATTGTTACTTTCTTTGTTAATTTTTTCTATGATAATAGGCATATAGCTTACTGCAGATGCCTGTTTCCCCATATATATATATATATATTATATATATATATATATATATATATATATATATATAATATATATATAAATTTACGAATAAGAATGTATCTCCCCTCCCCCCCACCCTCTCCCCAGGTGATGTACTACGTGCTCCAGTGCATCATCATCATCGGCTGCGTGGTGACGGTGGTGAGCCTCGCCCTCTGCATCCTCTGCTTCCTCATCTTCAAGGACCTGAGGGAGAAGACGAGCTCCTTAGTCCACGCCAACCTCTGCGGGAGTCTCATGCTCGCGGAACTGGTGCTCCTGGGGGGGCTGGACGCGACTGAGGACACGGTCGCTTGCAAGACGGTGGCGGCGCTCCTCCACTACTTCTTCTTGGCGACCTTCACGTGGAGTGCCGTCGGGGCCTTTACATGTATGGACTTTCGTGAAGGTGAGGAGGAGGGAGGCGGAGGGTCACGTGGAGTGCCGTCGGGGCCTTTCAGGTGTATAGGACTTTCGTTGTGAGGGGAGGGAGGTGGAGGGTCACGTGGAGTGCCATCGGGGCCTTTCACATGTATAGGACTTTCGTTAAGGTGAGGAGGAGGTGGAGGGTCACGTGGAGTGCCATCGCCCCGGTGGCACTCCACGTGACCCACCCGTTTCACGTGTATAGGACTTTCGTTAAGGTGAGGAGGAGGTGGAGGGTCACGTGGATGCCATCGCCCCGGTGGCACTCCAGTGACCCACCCGTTTCACGTGTATAGGACTTTCGTTAAGGTGAGGAGGAGGTGGAGGGTCACGTGGAGTGCCATCGCCCCGGTGGCACTCCACGTGACCCACCGTTTCACGTGTATAGGACTTTCGTTAAGGTGAGGAGGAGGTGGAGGGTCACGTGGAGTGCCATCGCCCGGTGGCACTCCACGTGACCCACCCGTTTCACGTGTATAGGACTTTCGTTAAGGTGAGGAGGAGGTGGAGGGTCACGTGGAGTGCCATCGCCCCGGTGGCACTCCACGTGACCCACCCGTTCACGTGTATAGGACTTTCGTTAAGGTGAGGAGGAGGTGGAGGGTCACGTGGAGTGCCATCGCCCGGTGGCACTCCACGTGACCCACCCGTTTCACGTGTATAGGACTTTCGTTAAGGTGAGGAGGAGGTGGAGGGTCACGTGGAGTGCCATCGCCCCGGTGGCACTCCACGTGACCCACCCGTTTCACGTGTATAGGACTTTCGTTAAGGTGAGGAGGAGGTGGAGGGTCACGTGGAGTGCCGCCCCGGTGGCACTCCACGTGACCCACCCGTTTCACGTGTATAGGACTTTCGTTAAGGTGAGGAGGAGGTGGAGGGTCACGTGGAGTGCCATCGGGGCCTTTCACGTGTTTAGGACTTTCGTGAAGGTGAGAAGGAGGAGAGAGGCGGAGGGTCACGTGTATAGGACTTTCGTGAAGGTGAGGAGGAGGGAGGTGGAGGGTTGTTGGATGGAGGGAAATGCTGTCTTGGTGGGAGTATGTGATTTTCGTCTTTTCGTTAAATTTGCGTCTTTTTTCGAGGATTTTTCGTGTGTATTTCAGCTGTGTCAGAGAGACTGATATTGCAAAACAGATAAAGGTAAGACGTCTGAATAAAATGAATAGGAGACAAATTTTGCTGACTATTATCATTATTATTTCCACGTGTATATGACCTTCGTTAAGGTGAGAATCAGGGTCCTGAAGGGCTAAAGTTAGGGCTGAAAGGAAATGCTGTTTTGGTGGAATATATGATTTTTGTTCCATTGTTTACCCTTTTCGAGTTGTGAAAACGTAACTCTGGTTTCGAAGATTTCCGTATGTGCTTCAGCTTCGTTATAATTAGGAGGCTGTGAATTAAGTGATAAAACCAACAAAGAGCTAAAGTAAATATGTGAATGAACGAATTGGGTGGGGGGGGGCGGGATAGCAGTAGACTAGGAAGACCAGTCCCCCATCCCCCATACTAATATGTTACAATTTCCTTTTGGGTCAAACCAGACAACTCTTTGGTCGGTAAAATTATCCATTTCAGTTTACCTGTCTGAATAATCGCATTCCATTTTATCTGAACTTTTTTTTTGTTTGTTTGTTTTTGTTTTTTTAGATAGATGGACGGATTTTTTTTCTGATACACCGTTTCCATATTGCAAGTTAAATATCATCTTTTTTCAGGTGCGGAATACCGAAAGATCTCCGCTGAAATATTACATGTGCGTGGGTTACTTGGCTCCCTTCTCGTACGTGTCCCTAACCCTCGCATTCACACACGCCGAAGGTTATGCGACCCGGAAAGCGTGAGTGTCATAGAAAACGTTACAGTGTCGCTAAGTATAGAAAATGGGAAAAAAATATTAATGGTAGACTAGTGAAAGTGAAAAATGGAGTTGAGTAAAATAGCTATTTTTGTTAAACTAAATAGAGAGATAGATCTAAGGAATGGAATGTTATCTACAGATGCTGGTTGTCTCCCTATGGTGTTCTTTGGACCTTCGCCGGGCCTCTTGCTATAATCATGTTGGTAAGTATTAATCTATAGTTTTAATTTGTGGTCATGTCAACTCAAGCCTCATAGTTAACGAATTAACTTTCCGATTAATGCTGAAATAATTTACAAGATTTCAAGGGATTCTGTGCTTACTTGTCCACTTAAAAGCTTTTGAATCTACATCTTTATTTTTATACAGTCTGCTTTAAGCAAGAAAACGTGAGGGTATTCACCAAATTTTATCCTTCAAATGTTAGAGCTGTTCCTACTTCCTAACTGTGTGTGGTTCACAAAGCTGTATTTGCGAAACAGAACAACAAATTCGCAAAAAAGAAAAAAATGATAAGGATGATGATAATGAATAATAATAATAAATAATAGATATTTCTTAAGTCAATCAGGAAAGATGTAATATACAAAGGCGTTAACATTAAATCAGTAGGTAGAGATGTATAAATAAAAAAGCTAGAAAGAAAATGAAAGTTAAAAAAAAGGAAACAGAAAAAATCCACATAAAAATGGAGTTCGCAGACAATGTCTAACCTTTTGTTATTTACCATTTCATTCATTCATTTCATAAGAAGTTCGCAGATGATGTCTAACGATCTTTTTTTTAATTTATCATTTCATTTTCCACCAGATAAATGCCGTTGCCTACTTCATGACAATGCAAGTCGCTTGGCGGGAAAACGCACTCATCGCCAACAGTCATACCAACAGCAACAACAACATCACCAAGAGCAACAGCAGCAAAAACAACAGCAATAACAGCACCAGCAGCCGTAGCAGCAACAGCCAGAAGAAAAAGGCAGTTTCCCCCATGAAGAAAGTCTGCAGTTCCTTGGCTGTTGTGTTTATTCTCTGCTTAACCTGGATGGCGGGATTCTTCTACTTTATCGACGGTTGGTAGCACTGCTTGGACGCGTAGAATTTGCCAGTGGGTTTCGAGAAAGGAATCATCCAACATTTTCATCATTATCACGAGCGTACAAACCGTACTCGGGGGGGGGAGGGGTGTTGCCGAGGGGTTGTGAGTTACAATAATTTATTCCTTCTCTCTCTCTCTCCTTCAGAAACCTACATCATGGCGGGCATCTTTACCTTCCTGAATTCCATGCAGGGGATCGTCATCTTCGTCTTCCACATCGCCATCAACACCCCCATAACACAGGAGGTGAAGCGTATACTGAAGTGAACAGGTAAGATTGTGTGTTATTATTGTTGTTGTTTGTGATGTGTGAAAAGTATGTGTGTGTGTAAGGAGTTTAAGTGTATAGTGAAGTGAACAGGTGAGGGAGACTGGGTATTCTGGGTTATTCTTAGTGATGTGTTGAAAAGTATGTATGCGTAAGGTTGTGAAAGTTCTGGTTTGAAAGGTGTTGTAGTTGTGCGTTTGTATTCGTTTTAGTTTGTATTCTCCGAGGAAAGAATGTATAGATGCATACGTATGAGTGTGTGTGTGTATGTGTGGCAAAAGTTTTTTTTTTTTTTTTTTTGGTGATGACTAAAGCTGGTGCATTTATTCCTTTCCTTTCAAAAGTCTGGAACATTCATTTTTATTTCTTTATTATTGTTATCATTATCATTATTATCTTTATTTTTTCTTACAGAGATGATATTCACTGGGGTTGAAACCTGATACGCAAAACTGCTTCTACCTACAAGATGCTCCTGCAAAGTCTTCTATTCCTGGGCTGCAACTCTTGCAATCTTTATGCAAATCAAGCACGTCTTATATTCTTCGTGACGGAAGGGAGAAGAAACTAGAAGATAAAGGAGAGAAAGGAGGAACTTAGAAGAACAAATGGCAGAAGAGTCACGTTTTCGAATTTTGTCAGTGACGTAATCTGGTCATTTTTTTTCTTCTTTTTTTCCATTTGATTTTCACATTTCCACATCTTTGACATTTTGTAAAGTTCTTGTGGTCTTTGTTGTTTGGTGTTATTTATTTTCACGTATTTTTATCGTTCGTCCATAATCAAAATGTCTTCGTTTTGATAAACCTAAGGATTACCTTTTCTTATCTATATTAATACAAGTCGTTCTGAAACTGCATACGATAAGATGCTGAAAGAACAAATGTATTGCCAGTGTGTTCGTCTATGTTATTGTTGTATTTACTATTGATCTTTTTATATACAAAGTTATCGACGGAAAATGGTGTTTTAATCATCCTTTGAACCAAAAGACAGACCCGTATATGTTTGTGTGCAAAAGTTTTTAGTATTCTTAATTTGTGGGTTCTTCTTGCACTTAAAAGTAAAAGGAGAAGAGAGGGAAAGAGAGAGAGAGAGAAAGAGAGAGAGAGAGAGAGGGAGAGAAAGAAAGAGAGAGAGAGAGGGAGAGAAAGAAAGAGAGAGAGAGACAGAGACTGAGAGAGAGAGAGACAGACAGACAGACAGACAAGCAGATATAAACAGGTAGAGAGAAAGCCAGACAGACACAGAGAGAATGTCAGACAGTCACAGATAGCGAGAAAAAGAATAAGACAGAGCATGGATGAAAGAGGAAATAGATAAAGAGGAAGAGAGTCAGAGACAATTAACATGTAAGTCACGCAGGCCTTGTGAGTTGCCAGGCCGTCATATTCACTCCCTCTCCGCTGTTGCTGCCACGTCGTCCCATCCTTTGGTGAATATTGGTCTAGTGAGGTAAGTTTCATACTGAGAAGGTTGTGCACTATCCCTTTTTCTGTGAACGATTTAACGACTTAATTTATGTACGCTATGTCTATCCATACTGTATAGATAATGTGATATTACCCTTAGTTTAATACCGTCCTCATAATGAATGTAAACGTATGAATTATGCCTAGCTATTCGTTTGACATAAATACAAGATGTTATTGGAGTGAACTGGGCTATGCGTATGGTATTGCAGACTTGCATGGTGTATTACTTAGGGAATGTCATAGAAAATTGCCATAGTAATTCTTACTGCAAGTGGTGAACAGGTGGCAGTTACTGAGAGGACGCTCACAATACCTTTCTCGTTGTTGTCGTGGGAGGGCTTAGGAGGCGGAGATTGAGGCCTAATGTGCGGCATCACCCTTATCTTGTGCCTCCTGCCCTCGCCTCCACTAATTTTGCTTGGTCTTTTTTTTCTCCTTTCCCCTTCCGTATCTTCTTCATCCCCTTCATCTATCCCTGAGGTGTGAGAGCCGTGCTGAAAGGATGAAAGGCTGGCTTTGTGTCGGTCATGAACGGCCTCGGGGGCCATGGGCACGGTATTCCCTTGGTTAATTGGCTAACTCTTACTCCATATGAGGACCCCGTTTCTTTTCCTCATTTCATTCAGGCTCACCATGGCCAGTAATGAAGATTCTTTACCCTTAATAGGGGGATTTAGGCTTGTCCTTTCATCAACCAGCCTATCTAACTTTGATTTTGATGGTTTTCCGATCCCTGCCCCTCCTTTGACTACGGCTCCGACCACTGATACTAATACCCACTCCTCGATGCTTACTGACCACTCTAACCATTCCAAAATTCCCACCCAGGTTATTAGTCAACCTCCAGAAAGCACCCTTTCCTCTCTCCCAACATTCTCCTCATAATCCCCTACTGCACAGTCATCTTCACTGTCTACCCCTTCTTCCCTTATTACTACTCTTCATCCTTACTGTCCTCACAGAGCTAGCCCACCCCACACCATCCCATCTTCCTCCCGCCCTCATTCTTCTACTGCCTCTACCTCTGCAAACCTTTTGAGTACTCTCGTTGGCCGTCAAAAGTGGGATCGATTCTTTGTGATCCCCCCCCCCCCCACCAGCCCCCTATTCTGAGAATACCCTTCTCTTTCGGCAGTGCCTCCAGAAACAAGTAGCAAGGTTACCTTTCGCAGTCGCTCCGATCGTTCACGCCTTGTCACAGTTACATCTGAATCCCAAGCTCGTGTACTATCTACCCTAACTGACCTCACTGGCAAACCCATTCCTGCCGAACCTCACCCTTCTCTTAATACTGTACTGGAGCTGTTTCTTTTCCTCCAAATGCTTGTCCTATCTACAACAAGGACTGGTCAGACTGTGAAAATTACCTATTACCTGCCTTGCTGATTATGATGCAGTGGCAGTACAGTTCCTAACGTACCCCACCCTCTTTACCAATCCTTCCTGGACACACACACGAATCCCCTCAATTACAACAAGTGTCCTTCTCCAGACCCCTCCCCTCCAGACATTCTTCCTGATACTTCACCACCTTCCCCAGTTCCCCTTTCTAATTCTTTCTTGTCCTCCTACTTCTCCAACAGCAACCTCTGTTTTCCTTGAACAATGTCCTTATTCCTTCCCCAGTTACAGATACATTGCAATTCACTTAACCGCTCTGCCATCTGTGTTTCAGGCCATACATTCGTCCTCTACAAATAAATAAAAATCAGAGAAGAATACAGGGAGATGGAAGACGTGGGCGGAGCTTGGTTACGTGCAGCCACGCCCATGGAGATGATGTTCGAAACTGCGCACCAAAAAGGGACGTTGCTCATTTGTTACCATGTAATTCTCAACTCGTCCGTTCGTCTCCAAGAGGAACATGTTCGAACTGCACTTCAACACCTTCATTGGTAATATTTATCGACTCGTTAATTAAGAGGATTTGAATACGTATTTATTATTCTTATATCTTTGTCTAGAGCATTTTCTGGTGCGTATAATAGTTTGAAGTTTTAATAATTTGTATTTATTTGATTAAACAGGAAGGTGCCAAATCTACGTCTGTGTTTCGGTGTTCGAGACGGTGAAATGTGGCTTCGTTATAGGTCTTCCAGTGATGTTGATTTTGAAGTAAATATTTCTTTTGTCTTAGTACATATTCCAGACGCACACACATACATACATACAGAAATCTATACAGATATATGAGTATAGTTGAAAAAACTCTTATCTCACTTTTTAATAAATCTAGTTTGTGTATAATGGGGCCATCTTCTAGAGTACCGACCCGATAGAGCGTTTCATCAGCCACACCCCATTAAGATAAGCCACCCTTTATTTCTTTCCCAGGTCGTGAGTACCGGTGACGTGCAGTCGACGATGGAGCATCTGCGAACGTACAAATATAATTCGACCGCCGGCCCTCTGTGGTGTGCGAGGCTCCTGCGTGGAGTTGAACACCCCGATGGAGGTTTAGATTCGAGTTCTAGCCCTCCTTTCGTTTCGCATTTGTTTTTAGGATATCATCATGGGATCGTGGACGGCGTTACGACGATGAAGGTGTGCGGATGCCTCGTGAAGCTGCTTGGTGACGTCATCAGTGGACAGCCAATCAGCGACGAGGAGCAGATCGGAGAGCTCGTGTCCGCGGAGGAAACGGAGAAACTCGTACAGGCTAAGAAATTAAGGATCGAGACAGATCACGAATATAGAGAAACATTAATTAGGGAAGCTAAATCGAAATGCTCTCATCCTAGACTTCTTCGGCGTCTCTACCAGGCACCAGAGGGCACAGAAGATAGGTCAGCACAGGTCGTCCGCCACCTCGACGTTGCCACCACCGAGAAATTCGTCAACAAATGCCGCGCAGAGGGTCTGACGGTCCACTCGGCCTTCACAGCTCTGGCAAACGTGGCACTCGTCGACCTGCTCACGAGGAAGGGCGTGATTCAAGACTCATACACGATCTGCAGCGCCCACACCACGAACCTCCGCCGTTACTGGCCTGGAGACACGACCCGGGCTCTCGGCTGCCACATAGCGCCGACTTACCTCCACGTCGAAACCCCCAGGAACGCGTGTGATGGATTCTGGATTACGCTCGGAGGCTCCACCTGAATCTCAAGTCCTACCTCGAGGCGGGGAAAGCCCTAGAGGACGTCGCTCTTCGCCAGCTCACGCCTCGAGCCAAGGCCGAGGAGAGAGAAGACCGTGAAGACAAAGAGGAAAATATCGATGCCCAAGCGGATTACTTCACCTCGAACATGGGCGATGTCACCCCCTTCCTGAGCCAAGGATCGGGGACATCGAGGCGACATGCATCACGAGGTCGGTGTCGTGCACGAGGCCGACCTCTCCTACTCCCACGTCTTCCACACACCTTCAAGGTCGTCTCACGCACTGCCTCGACTTCTCCACGAGGTTCCTGAGCGAAGACCTTGCTCGGGAATACTGCGACCAGATTTTCCGACGTCTGGAGGAAGTCCTATGAAGAGAACCGTATTCATGTTGACAAATGTGGAAAGGTATGAGAATGAGAACGAATAGCTTCATAATACACAGTGTATTTTGACCGGTTTCGAATGTATTTCTGACGAAGATATATTCGAAACCGGTCAAATACATCTCTTGTATTGGGAAGATATTCGTTCTCGTTCATGCCTTTCCACATCTTATGAAGAGGCTGCGTTTTCAGTCAGAGGCTCTCGTGTGTTTCTGCTTCTGTTCGAATAAATTGTCTATTTCCGTGCTTCGTTGTCTGAATTACCTCTGTGTGTGTGTGTGTGTGTGTGTGTGTATGTGTGTGCAGAATCATCCTCGTCGAAACCAATAATGCAATAATAGTTTAATCATTGTGATAAGTGGGGGGTGTGTGAAGTGAATAAGTGTACAATATACACGTCAATCATTTACCGAGGGAAAGAAAGTTATACATAGCTAGCAAATAAAAAAATATATAATACTGAAATGAAAATAAACCAAACGCCAAAATAAATACCCGTGTTCACTTGATATTTCTTCAAGCGATTTGTTGCTAAAGGTTTCACACGTGCAAGCCAAACCTCACAATTTAACACCTTGCAATATATGACTATATACGTACAACTTAATTAAATCGCAATACGTTTACACTGTCGAAGTATATTTCTCTAATGAATATAGTTTACAATCTATCGGAATATGAAAAATAAAATCTCTATATTTGCAGTAATGAATAGTTGTAAGGAGAAAAGAATTCGCAATGGAAGTCACCACATACACCAAAGACTCTCTAGAATGGAAAGCAGAGGTAAAAATAGCCTTTGTGACCCTGTTTTCCACTTAATTCTGATTGTCGTTTCTGATCAGCTGTCGGCAATGCTCTGCCTGCTACCAACACCTACTTTCACAACGACATGTATTCGTCCCCAAGCGAGTATAGAAGTAAATGCCTTTAATCAAGGTATTTAGTAAGTAATTAATGCCATGACATGCATATATATATATATATATATATATATATATATATATATATATATATATATATATATATATGTGTTGTGTGTGTGTGTGTGTGTGTGTGTGTGTGTGTGTGTGTGTGTGTTGTGTGTGTGTTGTGTGTGTGTGTGTGTGGTGTGTGTGTGCGTGCGTGCGTGTGTGGTGTGTGTGTGTGTGTGTGTGGTTTGTGTGTGTGTGTGTTGTTGTGTGTGTGTGTGTTTGTGTCTGTGTCTATGTGTATGTGTGTCATTTCTTAATATCCATGCTGTCAGTTATCACCTCATTTTGTATCAGAAAAAAGGGCGACTTCAACTTCGCATTCACATATGAACGTGATTTAAGCGTAACGATAATTTTTTCACAGTAAAACAAAGCCACTGGAACTCATATGTTATAGTATAGCAGGCGTAATGTGCGAATAAACGAATAAAAAATTGCAATGTAGATGATACTATTGATATAATGATAATATAAGATATGATAATGATATTGATTATGTAAAATATGATAATTATAGTATGAATATGAAATATGGTAATAATAGTAATTATATGAAATATGATATTCATAGTAATGGTGATAATCATAATGATTATAATGAGAATGAGAATACTTGAAATAATGATGATAATGATATTAATAATGGCAGTAATGATGATAGCAATAATAATAACGATAATAAAGAAAATAATGATAACAAAGACAGATGTGAAAGCGTTGATAATCATGACAAATGTAACTGTACGTTAATGTGCATCAACATATATCTCATACAATTGCCACATTACAGTATTGATATGCATGGTATACGAAAGCTTTGATGATAATCAAATGGGAAAATAATCAAACCATAGTTTTAGCTGACATCAGAGTTCCCTGTTACCTGATCTATATGGTAAAAAAGTAATAAGGAGTATAACAAATAAAAGGTTTATCGTTTAATTTAGTTTCCCTACTAAAACGTTCTCTCTCATTAATAGTTAGTAGGGATACGACTCTAAGAAATTTTAGAACAGACACAATATTTAATATTAAACCACCGAAACCGATTCACAATCAAACATATAAAACAATGAATATAAGTTATCACCCAAAATACCAAAATTCACTTCTCCTATTTTTTACTTACCCCACGAGAGAAAATAACGAATGCCGCCGTAGCCCCGTAGCAAACATTGAGCACGCATGTGTTGAAACGCGTGGAGTGAGACGACTCTACGAAACCTCTATTTTTGTAGTTATTATTTCAATTAAGGATGAGTGGAAAGAAGAGAAAGCTCCCCACTGTCAAAGACGAAGTTTTCGAAGATGAAATTGGGAATGTAAGTATACGTGGACGTAAATAGGAGAAAATATATCCCAGTAGGAGAGCTGTATGTTGATATAGATAGATCTTTTACCGTAAGGCGAAGTATTATATATTGTAATTTTGATAATTTGTTTGAGATTCTCGATATGATACATCCATTTAAAATAGGCCATTTAATGTACGGCACAAATGATTTTAAAGAAAGGATAAGTATGGAATTTTCTAGACTTGGGAGTACTGTATCTCTCTAACGGTAATACAGGGGTAATAGATCATATGGCAAGGAAGGATATATTGGTATTTCTCACTAACAACAGAAATTATGACGGAAATATTCATAGAAACTTAGAAATCCTCACACTGCTGAGAACAGTATTGTGCTCTCATACTTGCTCTGACTTGTGATGCATGGCATGCCGTAGTCTAAAAGCTTTAGATTACGTTTTATGCGTTGTTAAGTCATAACACAACTTATCAACTGCCATAGTAATAGTAAAACTAGATGTATTGTGCAATTTTTATTTCTTTGTCACTTAGCTATTTAGAAAGAGGCAGTCAAAGTTGATTCCAGGGCTTTGAAAGATTGATGAACAAGTTTTCGGTCGAGACGTTAGTTAAAAGAATATTCCCTAACCAGATTTTTAATCATGAATGGGCCGAACTGCAATCAACGGTAGTCATCGGTCAAAATGATTATGTAACATCGATATGGAACGAGGAATTTACTAATAGATTAAAAGACTTTCAAGCATTTTATCTGAAAAGTTTCAGGATGTGCACTCTTGAAGTGTATACTTGGTAACCATTGCACACTGCACAATTAAATTTTTTTTTGTGCACTCCTGAGGTCTCGTCAAAAAGTGCCGTACTTTCCATACTGGCTCAAAGGCCTTGAAACATCCCCTACTTGTATGGATACTTTGTCAGGGTAGAGCATGGATATGTTTCTCGCTTGATGATAGATTGCCACGAAAGTTTACTAAGTTCAGTGTCACTTAAATGTATAAGGAGGGCTGTTAGCAAGATTGGCATCAAATGCCTTATGAATATTTTAGTTGTTAAAGTAGCTGATTGAACAGTTATTTTCTCGGTAATTGTCACCTAAAACCAGGGTATCATGTGAACCCAAACACCCAACCCAAGCCTTTCTACCTTACTATTTATTCCCTAGACAGGGAGGGCAATCCCCCCTTTACCCCCTTTTATTAGCAGTTCATACCATCTTATAGAAAACAGACATTAAGAACTCTGACTATGTGAGTGTGTTGTGGACTTTGTCTGGAAGCAGTGATATGCTGCAAATATTTTTTGTCATTTCATGGTAAATATGAGGCTGCTGCAGCTGAAGCTATATTGTTGCTGACTCTATTTCTTATGCTCTTTAAGATGGCGTTGTCCATTTCCCTCTATCTCCGCACATCGCTTTTGGTAACTTATACCATCTTCTCTTATGCAGAGTGATTATAACATCTTGCCGAAAGATATGTAGTGTATTTATGGTTGCTTTTAGTGAAGGCCAAAACAAAGAGGTTACGACAGTGGTAATTTTTTGTTTCAAACAGCCATCCAAGCTTGCATTATTATTTCGTTTTGATTATTCACAATGTAACATACTTGAATCTGTTGTTGTTTTCTGTCAGAAATTATGTAAAGAAAAGTTTTTGTAACTCTCTACAAAGTGAATGCACCCTGCTGATAGTAATATTGCTGTTAATATTGATTGTTATTATAGTTTTGTAATAAGTCAAAAAGTATCTTTCCAAAGATCAAGAAAAAGATCAAACAAGGAAGATAAATAAGATAGGTATGACTGATAATTGTCTCTTTGGTGATTCAGTTCTTGTGAAACCATATTTGTGTATGCACAATTTATAAACTAAAATCACAGTGGACATGGTGTGTATGTCATGTCATCCTAGTACAAAGGGTTATGAAGGTCTTTTTATCTAACAGTTGAAATTTGAATAACATATGTGATTTAGAATGCCAGTATTTTGTCAATAAGAGTAAAATGTATTGACTTTGGCAATCTCCGTATAATACATAATCTTATGTTATTGTTGTATCTCTTTCTCTTTCAGGATGATTTCATGACAAAACAGTTTGATGATGAAGGAAATTCAGACTCCGAATACAGCATCAGTGAAGGTGAAGAGGAAACTGAAATCCCAGAGGATGATTCAGAGGACGAGTCAGATGATGAACCAGATGACAAGAGTGCAGAGAGGGGGAAAAGTAAACAGGTGAATCAAAAGGCGACAGGTTCCAAAGGGGCGCCAAAGTCAAAGAAGGCAGGTAGGAAGATTGAAATGGAAGCAGCAGAGGCCGAGGAAGATGAGGACGAGGGAGAAGATTCAGAGGAGGAGGATTCTGATGAGGAAAACTGGCATGATATGTCATCTGATGAATATGAATCGGCCGAAGAAGGAAGCGATATTGACAGTGAGGATGGGGAGTGGGAGACAGAGAGCGAGAGTGAGGAAAGGGAGTGGGAAGAGGGTTCTAACACCAGCAAGAATGGGAAAGATAGTGGTGTCGAGTCAGATATGGCTGGGGAGGTGAAGGTGGTGGACAAGGAACTAAAGAAAAGAACATCTGTCAAAAAAGTTTTAGCTCGCATTAGGAGTTTAGCAGAGGGAGAAAATAACAGTGAGGCAAGCACCAGTGGTACAAATGCATTGAAGAAAAGGAGGAGAAGGAGGAGGAAGAGGCGGTAGAGAAAGCAGTTTACAATGAATATGAAGAGGACTCCTCAGATGAAGAAGATCTAAGGAACACAATTGGTAAGACGAGAGCATAAGAAGTAGCTTGTTAAGGAATTATGAAATTTTTCATATTTTATGAATACTTATTACAAAAAGATTGCAGTTGTTTCTTATAGTTGTAATGACAAATTTCTCTGAAAGTGTTTATATATTGATGAATGGAAAAATTATTTCAAGAGACAATATTCTCTCTTCTTTTTCACTCAGGAAACATCCCAATGAACTGGTATGATGAGTACCCACACATGGGATACGATTTGGATGGGAATCCTATCATCAAGCCCGACAAAGGAGACAAGCTCGATCAGTTCTTAAGGATGTTAGAGGATCCAGATCATGGTGAGTCTTGGCAGTAAATGTTTGAGTAATTGTCCTAAAAACGAACACAGGTAATGCAACGACCTCCCTGCTTTGCACTGTGGCCCAGGAAGATAAACCTGTATTATTTTTATTTTGACAAGATATAGCTTGGACTGGTTCATTACTTCATCTTAAATCATGTGCTTTATCTTGCTAGAATATGTATGAGAGAGGTTTGGTAGCCATTGCTGGAGCACAAAGAGTAGAAACTGTGGTATCACATGAAACATGCATTCACTGACTTTTGCAAGCTATCAAGGGCTTACTTTTGCTCTCTGCAAAAAATCTGATGTTCCATATATGATTGTTTAAATGTGTTCTTAATTTCTGCACTCTCCCATTCACTATGAGCACATAATTAAGTACATTCATACATACTTGTATAGCTACAGTGTGTGGGTGGGGTGGGGTTCATATATTTTGTTTTTATTTATACACTATATATGTATATATACCTAATAATATGCTTCCTTCTTGCCTTCCCCTGTTTTTGTCTTCAACAATATTCTAATGCTAGTTAAATCCTTTTGCTTACTTCATCCCTATTGCATTTCAGGCGAACAGTTATATGACAAACAGACTGGCCAGGAGGTGCGACTGAGTGACGCAGACTTAGATATTGTGAGGCGTGTGCTGTCAAACAAAGTACCAGATGCCAAGTATAATATGTACAGCAAATGGATTGACCACTTTACTCATGAGGTTATGGACATGCCACTCTCTGGCCGGCCGGAACACAAGAGGTCCTTCATTCCGAGCAAGGTATATTTTTGTTTGCACTTTTTTTTGTAGTTGTTTATTTTAATTTAATTTTATTATTATTATTATTTTTTTATAAATAAGCTTTGGTGGTTCAAATCATCATTGTCACTTTTATCATAATGACAGTGATGATTTCTAGTTCTTTGGCATAATCATCTGCCCTCACCACTGGTCATATTTTTTCTTCACAAATACTCAAGGCTGCTGTGATTATGCTAAGAAATGCCCTCAAATATTTTGGAATGGAGGTAATATTCTAATGGTTTTCAATGTTTGTTATCATTTGTAGAAAGAGCTGCATATGTGGCGAGAAGAGCAGAGTTGATCAAGAAGGGAATGGTCACATATAAGACCAAGCAGAAGAAAAAACGGTTTTATGACCTATGGGGTACCAAGGGAGATGACCAGATTAGAAGGCTAACGCAGCGGTTGGAGACACCAAAGATGCCTTTACCAGGTAGGGCTGTGGTTTACCTTGCAGCAAGATAATTTTATTTTTTGTTTGTGTTGTGTGTGTGTGTAGTTTTTTTTTTTTTTTTTTTTTTCATCTTTACCTAGCTGCTATGCCCCATAGAACTGCAAAACCTTCAGCTAGTTAATATATATAGATCTTGCTTTATGCCCCAGAAATTGTATATTTCATTCCTCTTCCTTTTTCATATCCCAGTAGTCGGTGGCAGGCCAAAAAGTGTATATATCAAATACATAGCACAGTAAGGAGTGTTAATCTAAGAAAAATCATTGCAGTTACTCTGTTTTGTACCAAAAACATGCAAATGAGACACACACAAAGGAATAAAGCATATAGTAAAAATATTTATTTATCATATAAAACATCATCTTTGGTTTGATTTGGAAAATTAAGGCCATTTACTGTTCATGTTTTATTTCATAATTTTAAGTTTTGACTACATGTTGAATTTACCAGTTCTTCTTTGTTTGACTTCACTCTTCATGAAGTTTAAAAGGTGGATTAGCGGTTTGTTTAACTTTTGGTGCTTTGTTGTCTGTTTACATGGCATTTTCATTTACTTTAGGGACTTCTACTGTCTGTATGTTTGAATACACAATCATGTGATTGGGTCTGTCTACTGATGTATGTGTGTGTGTTAATGACTCCTTTTTCTTCTGTTGTGTGACCTTGTTTATGTTTTAGGATCTTTTAAAGATTTGCAGAAGATTTCCAAAGTTATAGCAGATCATCATTATTCATAGGTAGACTGTATGTATTAAAGAAATGATGTTAATTTGATGTACACTGGTCTGTCCCATACAGTGGCATATAAATAACCTGATAATTGTTTTTCAGGGCATGAGGATTCATATCGCGCACCTTTAGAATACATTAAAGAATACAATGCCAGGAGGTTCACAAGTGTCCGTAAGATTCCACAGTTTTACAATTTCGTGAAAGTAAGTGGCAGCAGGTTGTATGATATTTGGTTCTCTTGGAGATTATGAAATGGTATATCAGTCATGATGATTATTATTATTATACTGCATGAATAAAGAAATAATGTTTTTTTTTTTATTTTTTCACAGGATAGATATGAAAGATGCCTCGACTTGTACTTAGCCCCGCGCAAGTTGATAAAGAAACCCCTATATAAAGCAGATGTAAGTAATGTGCCGTGGAAGTAAATTTTTTTTTTTTTCCATTCCAGCTACTTTTCTTCTTCCTTCCCTTCCCTTCCCCTGTACCTTGCCAGCTTTTACCACTCTTTCTCTTATTGCGCAATGCTGTTAGAGTTGTCAGTGGGTACTCAAATAAACCTTTATTGTTGATGGGAATGTAGCCAGGTGTAGAACATTGAAAAAAAAATTGAATCGTGGAGTAAAGTAGACTGTGATGACTATGCCTTCACTATGCATGCAACAAACATAATGTTCATATGTTTTAGCTCACCTCATCAAGCCATTGCTATACTGGGTGTTTACATTTCCACTTCTCTTCCAGGACTTGTTGCCGCGTATGCCCAAACCCAAAGACCTGCGACCTTTCCCAACGAGAGAAGCATTGCGATTTGTTGGCCACCAGTCTGTTGTCAGAACCATTTCAATTCATCCACTAGGAAAGTTCTTGGCTTCTGGTTCAGATGATCACACAGTTAAAAGTGAGTGTTACCCCATTTTCTCTCTTCTTTATCAGGTGTGGGATGGGTTTGTCATTGACTAAGTTATTGTTTGATGGCAACAGGGTAGATGGTGGTGTAAAGGTTTTATCCTTTTATCTGATATGGCTTCTATTCAGAGACTTTAAGGACGAATAATTGAGTTATAATTTTATTTTTATGCCCAGTACAAGGAGACTAGAGAGAGTATAACCTGTTAAAGATTGGCCTGCTGTTTCTACCAGAAACATCACCCCAGTCTCACCCCCCTTATCCAATCATACAAAACACCTTATGGAGCCTTTTTTGACAAGGGAATGAACACGGGAAATGTAAAATAAAGAATTCTCATAATGTATGGCCTATCCAGTCCCAAAAACCACATCCATTTCCCCTCATCTTTTCTACTCCCTTGTCTCCTGGACCCACTTCCCTTACTACATTTGCTCATAAATCCTACCATGGTTGATATCCCCATGAATTTGACACTAACACGATCACCATCCCAACTACCTCCCTCATCCCTGACACGGCTCTGAAACACAGGAACGCGGGTGATTTGAAATACGAAAGAGGAAACCGTTCATAGTGATTTCATTTTTGTAGATTTAGCTGTTTGATGTAAGCTAGAATGTTGTTATTGTTGATGTTTCACATTTGGTAATAATAGGGTAAAAAGCATAGGACATCAATGTCATGCTTACATAACACTCATATAAGGACTTTGATGTTTATGCTGTAGATTTTGTGATAAGACTCAGCACACACACACACACACACACACACACACACACACACACACACACACACACACACACACACACACACACACACACACACACACACACACACACACACACACACACACACACACACACACACACACACACACACACACACACACACACACACACACACACACACACACACACACACACACACACACAACACACACACACACACACATTTTGAAAAAGAGTAATATAGTCTATTTAAACATAAACAGCCTGCATGTTTTACTGCATAGCTTGTTGCCCTAAAATTTCATCAGAGAAATTATGTTGATAAAGATGTAACAAAATCTACAAAAGCATGTTTCTTCAGAAACTCTTGTCATGACTTGATATTGAGGTGATTTGTAAATGTATATATGAAAAATTAACATTCCTACTTAGTTTCTATTTGAAACTTGTGGATTGCCTTTTAGCCTGTCACAGTTTGCTCCTGTGATGTGGTGGGATTGTCATTTACACAAAGGTGACTCACAGTTGTGTATAGTAAAATGGGGAATCACCATTCTGTCTTAGCATACTGATGGGATATGAAGTAAATTTGGTTAAGCATACTGCTGTAAATTTTGGTAAATGTAAGACATTTGCTCTTTTTTAACAACTCTAGCAACTGTAATTTATTCTTGTTGTTTATGCTTCATTTCTTGTCATTTGCCGCACTTGTATTTCATTTGTGCCAGTGTAGAACTCATAAGAGAAAATTTGACTACTACTTTCATTTTCATCTGGTTTGCATAACCCCACCCCAATGGATCCACAGTTTCACCTTTACTTTTATGTTAATGATGCAAACTTTAACATGTTTTAATGTTTGTTTCCTTTATCCACAGTTTGGGAAATTAGCACTGGACGTTGCCTCAGAACATTCAATTTCCAAGGTATTATTAAGTGGGTGGCCTGGAATCCAAGCCCCAAATTGTTCCTGCTGGCAGTGGTTGTAGGGAACAAAGTTTTCTGCTTGAATCCCGAGACCTACCTCACAGATCGGGTTGTGGTCAGGCAGACTAATGCTGTTTTCAGGGTGGAGCCTGATAAGGGAGATGATCAAAGTAAGTTTAGCTTGGTCTGTTCTTGTTGAAGATATTTCTTTGCTATTGCGATATTTGTCGAGATAGTCTGTACATCTTGTTATCCTTTATTGAAATTGATTTAGAGTATGGAATAAGGTTTTAAAATATCAATTTTTTCTTTCAGTTGGAAAGCAGTTTGAACGTGTGAGGACTGCTGTGACTTGGAGGAAACCAGATGCAACTGAGTGGAGTAATGGAATAAGAGTAGTTTTAGAGCATTTCAAGGATGTGAAACAGGTGAGTTATTTAGTATGTAAGGAAACTTAGTTATTAATGATATTCCCCCTTCTCCTTTGGCACTTCTAAAGAAATCCTGTGCATATGGTACTTGAAAAAACTGATTATGTATGTAGAGCAATTCTGTATTGTCTAAATTTATTAGTCCCTGTCTTATACTTTTATCCTGAGATTGTCAGGAACTTTGTAAGCTTCATTGTGAACTAACCAGTTTGAGTATATAACTTTGCTAGAATTTTAAGACAGCTTGTGTTTGTATTGACAGATTTTCATCTAGTAGACTAATTAAAAGCTGATAGTGACTGTATGATAGCCTTTCCCATTTCAGTATGCTCTTAAATTTAAATTGATCAGTCAGCTGCAATGGAATCGACTTGGTGTCATTGTGTCAGTGGCTTTCTTACTTCTTACTCTTTGGAGTATATTAGGTGTTGAGCTTGAGGTGTTACAAGTCAAGAGTACTGTTAGTTATTTATGAATTATGAGGTCTCTCAGGATTTAAGGTACAGGGAGGGAATCCCTTTCTTTATTTATGAATCAAGAGGTCATCTTTACTACATACCCAAAGGTTCATGAAACTTTAATCTGCTTGGTCAAAGAACATTTGATAGACAGTGTACAGAAAAAAAATTATGGATGATAAAAGACTGGCAGTGCTCATAACTGTTGCTTTTTAATTTTACTTTAATGCTAATATTATTGTTAACTTCCAGATTGTGTGGCATAAACAGGGTGATTATTTTGTCACGGTGATACCCCATGGTATGAATAGGTCAATCCTAATCATCAGCTTAGCCGCTGGAGATCACAGATCCCTTCACAGCCATCAAAGCTCGAATTGAGGTGGCCGAGTTCCATCCCAAGTTGCCCTTCCTCTATGTTGTGGTGAGTTGTGGGTGTGCTTGCATTTAAGGGGTTGGATGGAGGGAAAATAACAGTTTGTACTTGTAAATGTCTCTACGTCTAGGATATTTATGTAAGAGAAAGAGTGAATTGATGTCATCTGTCAAGGCGTGTGCTCATATATATTTTTTGGTTGGAGATTGTGATTGTGTAGGTGCATTGGTAGAAATAATTCACTTGAGTAAAGGCTTGAGACAATACCACTGGGAAAATGTATTGAATACTAGAAAATATAAAAAATCAAGGAAAAGGGTAGACAGGTGAGGCAGGTACTTCTTGTAACTGGCTCATTGGTGACCTAGTACTTGTGAGTTATCTATATATTTAAAAAATTACTAAATTAAACACATGGTGGGCATAGCACGTATGTACATGCCCTCGGCATATGGTTAATTTTGCACTAACAAGTACACTAACACACCATATCCTATTCCAGACCCAGACTCACGTTCGAGTGTACAACCTTCAGAAACAGACCATGTTGAAGAATATCAGAGCCAACAGCCGCTGGGTCTCCTCTATCAGTGTACATCCAGGTGGTGAGCACTCCTCATAGGTACCTTTGACCGTAAAGTCAGCTGGTAAGTTTTCGTTATTTTTCTTCTATATTCTTGCTTTTCTTTATCTTTCTTTCTTCTCTGATTGTAGCTAGCTATTTAATATTGGAATGTGTGTGCAGATGAGCATCTAGTTTAGAATAAGATATGGAACTACTAAACAAAGGCCAACTAGTAGGCTTTTCTAGTAAATGAATTTGATAAAAATTGATTAATTTATTTTTAGTTTTATAATTTGTAATTTATATATGTTTTTAGCTTTTAAGGACCATACATAAAATCATACTGAAATTAAGAGGGTCTCGTTAATAGTTACGGAATGAAGTCAAGCTTGCAGTGTCTCAGCAGAAAATAGCTAAATAGGCTTTGAACTCACTAGCCAGGAGTTAGAAGATTTTTCAGGATGTTAAGTGAACAGAAACCTGACATAGAACAATGTAAGGATTTTTCAGAATATTATCAATTTAATCCAATGTTGATGGGGCGAGAATTCACTGTCTGGTACTGGTGGGAATACATTTGTATTTCCCACCAGGGCATTTGTTGTGTTCATTGATTAATATCATTATTTTTATAATTTTGATATGAATCATGTCAAAATATGCAAGGAGGTTAAGACTACAACCATTCTAAAAGGCCTTAAAACCTTTCATACATATGGATGTGTAAAAGGATGAGAATATACTTGAATGGGGATATGATTTGTGATTTGCAGTTGCATTCCTTTATTCTTTTTATGTTATATATAAACATTTGTTTAACCAGTGCCAATGGGAAAATGGTGCATTCCCTTTGGCAATGCTTGGTTAAATGTTTCTGCACAAAGGAGTAATTAGTAGATCTTGCGACCTCACTTTTCCTTGAAAAAGTGGGAAAATGACATTTTTTAAAGTAAGTGCCATCAATAATGCACTGTTATTTTTGTTATAAACATTATAATTACTATATTGTTACTAACATTACTAACAGCAGTAATGATATAGAAAATATCAAAATCAAGGAAAGGGTAAACAGGTGAGACAGGTAGTTTGCATAATTGGCTCATTGGTGACTTAGTACTTGTGGAGCCTTCTATATGTAAAAGCAATTACTAAATTCAACACACACAATGGACAATGGCATGTATGTACATACCATGCCCGGCTGCTTGTGGTTAAAAGAGTTTCGAGCTAGCATGATGGGAGTGTATGATTTTTAATATTCATATATATTTATATTATTTTTGCTTATGCAGAAAATTGTTTGATTTTACTGAATGACATAAAAAAAAAAAGAGATTATCATGGGCTGACTTGAAATACCCACTTTGTGAAGGATATGGACAGATCTTTTTCTTTTTCTTTTTTTATTCAATTTATCCAGCTCTTGTGTTTTCATATATTTATATAGAAAATAGAAGTAAATGGTGTACAAATAGGGGATTATCTTTATAAGTAGAAATGTGAGCTCAATGACATGACAAAAGTAAAATTTTACTCTGTGCCTTTAGGCCTAGCCAAGAAATAGAATCGCATAAATTTAGTCCTTGTCTGAGAGGGTGAAATAGGGAAAACCAACTATAGATGATATGGTAGTCAGACTCATCTCAGTGTTTGAGGTATAAACCAACCACCTATTTTCCTTATCTTTTATTTAATTGTGTTGACCACTTGATATTTTCTGTAAGCAAAGTGTCATTGGAAGTGAATCTTTTGTAAATCTCTAAGAGATACGAGTGTTTTATTTAATGAACTGATTTATGAATAAGTAATTGAATTACATGAATTATTATTTTTTATTACAGGTTTGAAATGGAGTGTACTAGAAAGCCTCATAACTTGAAGTACCAAAGGAAGCTGTCCGTAAAGTTGCATTCCACCGCAAATATCCACTCTTCGCCTCTGCGTCAGATGATGGCAGAATTATTGTGTCTCATGGAATGGTGTACAAGTAAGGCATTATTTCTTTTGTTGTAAATTTATTCATGGTTGGGGGAAAATGAATATTGTTATTTTCATTTTTAAATTTTATTTTCTTCATTGCTGTCTTCATTATCATTGTCATCATCATTGGTTCATGAATGTTTTTGCCTATATTGTTAAAACAAATAATTTTGTAAAATTGTAAAGGAGATTTTTCCTAATGATAAAGTGGTTTCCTTGCTTGTACTTTTTTAAAAGAATTATCTTGATATATACTTTCAAGCAAGAACGGTACTTGATGAGAAATAAATCCAGAATTTTTACTTTTTTGTCTGAAGCTCTTTATCAAGAATATGAGCTACAAACAGATTTTAAACTGGAAAGAAAATTAAATAATTATATTACATGAAACCTTGTCAGAAGCACTCTTGCATATGGGGTCTGCATACAAATTTTTGATGATGACTGTGATTGTATTGCTAAAAGTAATTGATTCCTGCTTTTTCTCCAGTGACTGGATAACAGATCCTCTCATCGTACCCGTGAAGGAGTTGGCTGGTCACTGGTTCCTGAAAAATCTGTGTGTATTGGACATCGCTTGGCATCCCTACGAGCCGTTCGTCCTGTCATCTGGAGCAGATACCACCATCAGGCTGTGGAGTTAACAGAGCTGGAAGTGTCATAAGATGGGAAATTTGTTATCTTGGACAAGGTGTATTTGACATAGACAGTCCATCTGATTCAGGATTAGATACAAGATAACACACTTGTTACTGGATAGCAGTGTAGGTCTTGCCGTTAAGTCCTTTTTGGGGGATTACATTTAAAGGACCGACATCGTTGTTGAACTGTCAAATAGATTCTTGCTCTGTGAAGACCTTCTCATTTCCATAGTTGATGCAACTATGGTACTGAACTCGTGGAGACTTTTGTTGTAGATGTATAGATATATGTATATTGCACTGTACTTTGATGTGATTTGAACAGCTAAAGATGGATGAAAATGGATTGAAAAGTATTACTTTGACAGAAGTGAAAGTAATGAATAGTGTATTTGTTGATTTTTTATTTTATTTTATTTTCTCCTGTATAAAATTATGTGGTTATTAAATCAATTGTTGATATTTTTTTCTTCTCTTTATACAAGATACAAGATTATTTGTGTATGGTAAGAAATATCTATGTACCCATCATGGATACTGCAGAGCTGGATTTTGTTACTAAAACACTTTAGTAAGATCAGACATTGTTGGCATTTTGGGCTATACAATGATGTTTTTTTATGATGAAATGTGACAATGTCCAGCATAAGAAAAAAACATATACAAATTCAAATGTTGAAGAACTGAGGTAATAAAATTTGTACTTCTTGCATTGTTAAATGTCAGGAAATTGTTACATAAATTCTACTAGATAACATTGTGTATGTAATGAGTTTTGTAATAAATAGAAAATTTAATCTGTATTTATTTAGACATTTATTTACATAAGGGGCTTACAGAGTTAGTGCTGTACTTAAGCGAGCATTTTATTGACAGCATTTAGGAGGATGGCCTTGCATTTTAAGTATATTGATGAGC